TGAACTTGTTGGGGCCCGGTTGTTGAAGAAGAGAGTAAATGAGAACCCTTCCGTTTCCGACTTCGGTGAAGGTTGAAAATGAAGATTTCAGCGCTGGACTCCACGAATACACTCTACATCTTAAACTCCCGGCCCTAGTTCTCAAGCCACTCCCCCCCAAATCCAGGAACAAACCACAGTCTATAAACCCTAAACCTTGCCGCCTCAAACCTTAAACCCTAAACCTGAAGTCTTAAACCCTAAACCTTAAACCGTAAACTCTAAACCTTAAACCCTAAACCATAAACCTTACGCCGAAAAGAAGATGGAGGCCTACAGTGTGGCCTTCTGCGCCTCAGCAGTGCAGGAGCGATCATGGCATTTATGCTTTGGGCAATTCTCAAACTTGGGTTTAGGGTACGGTTAATTGCTTAGTGTTTAGGGTTTAGGGTTCAGAGTTGGGGTTTAGGGTTCAGAGTTTAGGGTTTAGGGTTCAGCGTTTAGGGTTTCGGGTTTAAGGGCTACCAGGACCCTCCAAGTTATTAATAGCGTGCTTCTGGCCCTCATTAGTGGAAATTTGGGGTGTATTGCAGGGTAGTTCGGGGGTCTAGGTAAACCCGAAGCCCTAACCCTAGAAGGCTTTACTCTAAGCTCCAAAGCCTGGATTTTCGATTTCCTGAGGCCTAAACATTCCTTGCCCTAGCCACAGGCTTCATTGTAGTTCCTTTTTTGAGATTACCTTGTAGGAGCCTATAAGGTAATCCCAAAAAGGCACTGCAATGGAGCCTAAAACCCTAAACCTTAAACCCTAAACCCCTAAACCCCCCCAAAACCTTAAGCCCCAAACCCTAAACTTGAACCCTAAACCCCTAAACCCTAAACCTGAACCCCTAAACCCTGGACCCTTAAACCCGAAATCCCTAAGGCCCCTAACCCCCGAACCCTTAAACCCTAAAGCCCCAAAGGCCCCTAAGGGTTTTTTTAAAGGACACTTCTAGCGGCCTTGGGAGCAAAGGGCGGTCAGGGCGAGGGGAGTTTAGGGGTTCGGGCTTAATAGGGGTTTAGGGTTTAGGGTTTAGGGGTTGGGGTTTAGGGTTTAGGGTTTAGGGTTTAGGGTTTAGGGGTTGGGGTTTAGGGTTTAGGGGTTGGGGTTTAGGGTTTAGGGTTTAGGGTGTCTCGCCGCGCAGCGGCAGTATTTTCTATGTAGGATGGCGCCCCAACACTCCCAGGGGTGTGGGGGGGCGGCATATCGACGTCTAGCGTTCGAATGCAATTCCACCACTCAACAATTACACATTGGTTCCTCACCTTTTCCCACCCGCTGTGAGAATACACAGGCTACCACCCAAAACATTGCTTTTTAGGGTTTAGCGCTTACGCCCTCAATTCCCACCTGCCCGGTCTGTCTGTTGGGGCCAGGAAGGCCGCACCTACACACGCCACAAAACAGAACAGGTCAGGGCAGGTGGCGAGGGTCAGGGGCCAGCGAGGGTCAGGGGACCCGCCAGGGTCCCTGGAATCTGCCAGCTGGGGGGTCCCCTGGGCCGGCCGCTGGGGCCTTTTCTGAGGGGGGGCCAAATGGAAACGCCCACCAAGAGATTTGGTCGTGGGGTTTAGGGTATTTTAATCTCTTGAGATTCGAGGGAATTCCCTCTGCAAATATGGGCGTCACGCCTCAGCCCTAGGGGCTGAATTCGACCACTCTCCAATGGCTCCACCCATTGTCCATCCAGAGTTGGTGTCAATCACTGCCGGATTTCCTTCTGGGTCCAGGCACCCTAAGAAAAAGGGTGGGTACGGCCTAAGCAGGCCTGGGTGGGAATTTAGGGGTTTGAGGTTTAGGGTTTAGGGTTTAGGGGTTATGGTTTGGGGGTTTAGGGGTTCGGGCTTAACCCGAAATAACCGCCTCTTTTAAGGACTTATATAAGGAAATCATAACCAGGAACCCTAAAAAGGTAGGTTATTCAGGGTTAGGGGTTCGGGCTTAATATAGGGGCCTGAATAATTAGAATAGGGCTTGGGGGTTTAGTGTAATTATACATCGATACTAGAATCATAACAAGGCAATTGCTCAGGCCCCTATATACATTCGGGCATTATCGGCACTATTCCTTTGGATTCCTTATCATGGAGTATCATTGGGCTTTATAAAACGAAGGCCCTACATATGAGTGGTTGTTAAAAGTATGGTCCCTGTTTGGGTACCCTAAATACAGGTGCCGTATTATAATAGGGACCATGAAATGAAAGGGGACCACAATTTTGACAACCGCCCATATGTAAGGTTCGAGGACTCTTGGTTCCGAGCTCCGATCCAGGATCCGGTGGCTTCCAAGTTCGGGGTTTTACGGTTTCGGCCTACCTTTAGGGCTTAGAGCCCAGGGTTTAGGGTGTAGGGTTTTAGGGTTTGGGGTTTGGGAATCTGTAGCTTAAATCCTGATCCCGTAACCTTATTAAATCCCCAGCCTCAGTGGGCTTTGTCAAGTAACCCAAAACCCTGACTCCTGGACCCTGAACGCTTGCATGGTGAATGAAGTGCCTTGCCTTGCCCAAGGTCCCATGTACCGACATTGTAGAACGTAGGGTTTCCATATGAGGAATTACCTAAACCCTAAACCCTAAGACTTACGCGAGTATCCCCCATAACAGTGCATGGGACCCTATGGGTTGGTGTGCTGTTTCAGTGGCGGGTTGGTGGTGTCAAGCACCTCCCTACTGTCGTTTACGCCACAAGGGTCCATAGACACTACAATTATGCAACTACCCATCGTCTCCATTGTAGCTTCATTTGTGGTTAACCAAAAACTGTATTATGGGAGAAAAGGAGCTACAATGGAGACTACAGGTAGGTGTATACCCGAAAACCATGATTCGGAAAGTCTTTGGGGGTCTGATTCCGTGATAGTATCTTTGGACCGTCTGCATATTGTAGATACTGTAGTACGTGTGCATGACCCTAAGGACTCTAAACTATGGGAACTATGGTCTATTCCTTATAATGGGTAATGCAGGATTTTGTCCATCAACAGTATGGGGCTTTACATAAGAGGCCTAGGTAAACAGCTGTCTGGGGGTTGACGAACCTTTACAAGAACAGGTTCTCCCTGCTCAAGACTTGCGAAGAAGCCCTTAAAAACGATCAATGGTACTATAGGGGCCAAAATAACTACCTATACTATTTTGGGATTCCTTATATCATACTTATAGTATAATGGGCCCCAAAGCCCTATTCTAGTTATTATAAGGCCCCCATATTACGTGGAGGGCACGGAAACTTCGAGAACAAAGGCAGTGGACCAGCTTCCGCAATCTGCGTGCGGCGCATTGGTGCTGGACGTGCACACGCTCATTGCTGGGCAGTTCGCAGCGGAGCGTGGTGGAACAACAGCGTCGCACAAGTAAGCTACGAAATGATCCTGAGTGTGGCTTTGGATGAAGCCCTAAACCTCGCTTAGGGTCTAGGCTTTCGGGCCGTCGTGTTCTCTCGCTGGTGCAGCTACAGCTATACCCTGGGCGTCACGCAACCTGCAGAACCGAACCCTCCAACACTAAATTCTAAACCCAGGAGGAAGACGTGCTACTGCCTCCACTGATTTGCCTGCAGGCTGGAGAACGGTCTATGGCTTGGTTTGACAGGTTCCTCTTTCAGTCAAAGCTGCGGAGTTGCTGTAGAGTCCCCTAGACCACTGGGAGGATCTAACAAGTAGATCCCCTTATTGGAGAGCTTATGCTACTAAATGGGAACACCCGTACGGGATTTTTGGATCTGGCTCAGGGGTCTGGGCAATCTTACAGAAGCCTAAACCCTAAACCCCAAGCCCTAAACCCCTAAACCCTAAACCCTAAACCCTGAACCCTAATCGCATACATCGCAGAGAGGCCCTCTGGGAAGGAGCCCTTTGCTGTGTGCCGTGTACTCACGCAGCACACTGCAAGGGGGCTTAGGGTGAACTATGGTAGGGTTTAGGGGGTTTATAGGGTTTAGTATGTTGGGGTTTAGGGGGTTTAGGGGGTTTAGGGCTTTGGGTTTAGGGTTTAGGGCGGAATAATCAATAGGAGCATTCCGCGAAAGTTCCTTATATATATAAATAAATAAATAAATATATATATATATATATATATATATATGTATATATATATATATATACCCTGGGCGAATTTAGTCAGGCCCCTACAGCACCTCCCCCAGCAACCGAGCACGTTTATGGACGTAGATCGCCTACACTAATCCCCACACCATAATCCCTAAACCCCAAGCCGTCGAAGCTCTTCAACCCAAAACGTCCCTAAATCCTGGCCGCCCTAAGCACCGAATTCCCAACCCTGCACCCTATACCCTAGCCCAACCCTAAATACCCTACCTTTTGGGGGTTTTACCGAGTATGGTTTCCGTATATAAATCCTCCAAAGCGTCGGCCTGCTACACTCCTAACCCTTAAACCCTTAAACCCTAAACCCTAAACCCTAAACCCTAAACCCTAAACCCCTAAACCCTAAACCCCTAAACCCTAAACCCTAAACTCTGCTCTCTCCATGACTCCTTTTTGATTCTCCTCGCCGAGGTCAGTGTCACTCTCACAGGGTCCATACATACTACAATTATGGACCTAGGCCCCCAAAGACCATCCGTATTGTGGTTGTGGGGACCTAATTCCATTATAGTAGCATATTTGGACCCTTTCAGATTGTGTTGGTTCGAAGTCCTATTCAGGGGATTCCTAAGGGCGTCGTATAAGGGTACTATGCGCTCCACGCTTTCTATTCGGTACCGACTGGCTTTAGGGTTTGTTGGGTTTACGGGACCCAAAGCCAGAAGAACATGCCTTGACGCTGAAGCACCGATCCAGAGCCCTCTTTAAGGCAGTCGCGCATTCAGTGTCATTCCCAAAAGGGTCCTATGTACCGATATAGTCGAATGAAGGGTTTCCATATTAGGAATTACTTTCATGACTTAGGGAAGTATCCCCCATAACAGTACATAGGACACTTCGGGATTGCCATGTCTCCAGCATCGCCCAGCCATGGTTTGCAATTGGCTTGCACTCTTTTCGTGCTGCGCCGTGCTGGGCCAGTTGATCCCGGAAGCAGATGTAACGACAAATGGTTCCTTAGTAGCTGAGTGGATACACTTTACACTCTTTGGGATAATATTGCCCACTTTACACCTAAAAGTGTACACTTTTTGGGATAATATTATATACCCGGAACTATAAAGCTAAAAGTGTACACTTTGTCGGGCTTATGAACTCAGCAACTAAGGTTCAGAGTTTGAACCTCAGCCTGAACTTGAAGGCGCTTGCGACGGTGGTGTTCTTCGCCTTTCTCCTCGCCGCTATGAAACTGGGCTTTGAAGTACCATACTTTAATACTTTTTTCTTAAAGGAACCCTTATGAAATACAAGTGTATACTTTTTTCTACCTGGTTACTTAAAAGCCCAGGAAAAGCGCTTCGTATTTCTCGAAGACTGTTTGCTTGTGGGTGTCCCTGGCACAATACTTGCTGCTCCCCTGCTTTTCTCAAAAAGTGGATGGCTGGATGGCACGCTGCTGTTTGACCATGGGGACTATGCATGGAATGCATCATGCGTCGCGGCAGTGGAAACACTCAATATTTCGGGCGACGTGGTCTTTCGGAATCTGGGTTTTGGTTCAGGAACTTACACATTATTATGAACCTGAGGTCCTGTACCAAAATAAATGCAAATAGTAGGGTTTCCATATTATGGTAACTTACGGCCAGGTCCGTAACAAGAACATCCTTGTCCTTTTTCATGGTGCCCCCCAAAAGAATAAACAGACCGGCTAGTAGACCTTCTTAAATAATTCCTACTAAGGGATATAGGTATAGGGCTCTGTCTAGTGTTTCTAAACGGACAAGGGGGAACAAGAACCCAGGAATTGCCATTCAAGCTTGCAAGGCGGTGCTATCAACATCATCAACCCACGCGGAGTTTGGGCTCTCGATTAAAAAGTTCGGGTTTAGTTTAGGATTATTTGGGAGTTTCCGGAAATAATCGGGACCCTAATATAGTACTCTAAATAGTAGGATTCTTTTCATGAGGACCCCAAAATCAGGTACCCCTAATTTTCGGAGACTCCCTTTTAGGGCTTTAGTTACCATCGCAAGGGTCATAGTATGTAACAGTATGTGGCATGGTTGCGTTGTTCTGAGGAATGTAAGTTTAATTCCTTGACAATTAATAATATTATAGTAATAATCGTACTACTAATAATAATAATCATCATCATAATAACAGAAATCATAATCATAATATTACCGTTAATGAGAATAACAATAATAGTAATAATAGTAATAATGATAATTATGTAACAAAAGAACCCAGGAGTGGCCGGTCACGGGCGACTTGTTCAACATGAAGGCCGGCTCCTTTTCGACAACTGCAGCGCCGAGTTCAGTGGCGGCGCCATTGCAGCTGTGCAAGTCGAGTTTCACGGGCTGGAAGTAGTTTTTTCAAACTGCAGATCATCCGGTGGACATGGTGGTGCAATCAGGGCTCAATTGGGTGTGCATGTCACGGCTCACAACGTGTCGTTCCGGGGCTGTGAAGCCCGATCGGGTGCCGCAATCTGGTCTGACGCTGGTTTGTGGTTACAGGCCCAAAGGGTCCTATGTACTGTTACGGGGGATACTTCCCTAAGTCATAATAGTATATCCTAATATGGAAACCCTACATTCTATATCGGTAATTACATTGGACCCTTTGGGACAAGGCCCCAGAGCTGCCCTACTTAAACCTAACCCGAGGTTCCGTTCCCAAATAAGAGTAAATCCTAATATGGAAACCCTAAACGCCATTACTATATCGGTACATTGGACCCTTTGGAAGGGTTGGTCCACGATCTTCGAGAAATGCGACTGCTCGGGCCGCAGAGGGAACACTGCAGTGGTGAGAGTTGGATTCCGAGGGCATCTGAACATCATGAACACGCAGATCTCGACGTCACTTGGCCTTCTTCTGGTGGGCTCTTAGGACTTTAACTTTTCGGGTTTAATATATGGGCTATGGAGGATCAGGGGACTTCGTAAGTAAGGTTATAAGTACCCTAAATTGGGTTTATACGGAATTATAACGACAGTTACCAAGTATAAAAAGGAGGCTAAAAGTTTCAGCTTTAGCCTGGGTTCAGAAGTCAGCCAAGGTCAGTTTGCTTCTTTGGGATCGATGCGCTTGGAGCTTTTGCTCTGCGTATTGATCGCGGCCTGTTTTCTTGGTTGAGAGCGGGAGCCATCCTTGCCGACTTCGCGTCGGATGCTACTTAGTGGCTGAGTAGATACCCTAAGGCTCCATAGTAGCTCCTTTTTGGGATTATCGTATAGGACTCTATATATGGGTAGTTGTCAAAGGGTCTCTTTTTGGGTACCCTAAATAATAGGTGCCGTGCTATAATAGGGACCCAAAAAAGAACCATAATTTTGACAACCACCCATATGAACCCCAAAAAGGAACTACTATGGAGCCCTAGGGTAACCTTGAACTTTCAACCGTTTGGGGTTTATATAGCCCTAAAATAATTGAAATAACCTGTTTTGGGCTAGGGTACTCAGCCTCGAAGGTTAACATTCAGCATGCAAGCTCCCAACATACAGCGATGTTCCTGAAAGCGCGCAGTGTGCAAACAGTGCGGCTTCAAGACGTGAAGGTTTCCAGGTATGCCTTTGGGAGATTTTGCATTTTCCCTTGAGTCTACGAGGATCTTATTGACCAAGATTATTTCAAAGGCTCGACGGGCCAACCTACTACCCCCCTTCCCCCTACCCCCTTAAGGGTCCCTATAAACCCTATAGGCCCTATAAACCTTAGAAGGGGCCCCCCACCCTGTAATATTGACTATAAGGATTATATCAGGGCCCTAATGGGTTCCTATTATACCACTATTACAGGGTGGGGGCCCCTTCTAACCTAAACCCTTGAAACCCCCTCAGGTTTTTTGCACCCCGCCTGCTGGGACTCGATGCATCGACCTGGGTTTCTGGACCGACCGAGCTGAAATCCAGCTTGACGGTGTGCAGCTCTTCCACAGACTCTTGGGATAAGTAGGGATACCCAGAGGCTCCATAGTAGTTATTTTTTGTTGTTTATAATGAAGATCCTATATGGTAACCCCAAAAAGGAACGACAAAGGAGCCTATGAATAGTTCTAAGATTCTGGGTTTTAGGGTTGGGATTACGGGTTTCAGGGTTTAAGGCTTCAGATGTTCAGCTCTTGTCTGGCCCAGCACGCTGCTAAAAGTTGTGCATGTGCCTCGACTATCCGCGACTGCTCTGCAAGCCTAACCCTGAACCCTAAATCCCTAAATCCCTAAACCCCTAAAACCCTTAAACCCCTAAACCCTAAACCCTATAAACCACGACCTTGCCGCCCGTGTTCCAGTCAGAGAGTGCGCTCCATCTCGCGGTCTAAGTGCTGTATCGTGCGCCCGTGCTGTGCATGTGAGGAACGAAAACTGTTGAGGCAGCACGCAGTCATCTCAAACTCTTAAACGAGGCAGCATGCATGCTTTTTGTTTGACGTGCTCTGGGGTTTTGGAATTGAGCAGCATCGTTTGGTTTCAATAATGAAGCATTCCACCTCAAGTTTTGCGTTCGGCACCTGCACGCACCACGCGTTGCGGAAAAGTTGAGTTGGAACGAATGCGCTCGAGGCAGCCCGCACTCTTTTCAGTAGCAAGCTGCTCCAAGCCCCTAAACCCTGACTCCTAAAGCCTAAAACCCTGAATCCTAAACCCTAGACTCTACATAGAGCATGCCCAGAGAGGCCCCCTAAACCCTAAAATTTCGCAGATTCTGACTGGACGTCGATGTCGGATGATTCATAATTTCCCTGATTATTGCTAAATATAGAGCCCTAAATATATATTCATGTTTGGGACCGGTTGGAATCCATACCTAGCTGAGGATGTTCAGAAGTGTTATGTTTTCACAGATGGATCCTAATCCCAGCACCCCTTAACAAGAAACCCTAAGCCCTACTCACCATTTTACTACTCTTGCTCGTTTTTGTTAGGGGTCTCCTCATTAAAACCTGCTCAGTAGTGTACTGTTCAGTTTTCTCGGTTTCCGAGTATTGTACAAGTAATCCCAAAACAGATAGTCTTGCAGTGGGAAACCCTAAACCGTAAAGTAGTAGAATAGAGTGGGTAGCGCCTCTCGGCCTTTTGGGAGTATGATATGCCACACGGTTTAGGGTTTAGGGTTTAGGTTTAGGGTCCCGAAGGTTAGCCTTTACCTTAGCCCTGAATAACCTGCCTTTTTCGGGTTCCTTATTATGGTTTCCCTCCATTATAAGTCCTGAAAAAGGTAGTTTGTTTCGGGTTAGGGTACTTCCCTTTGGATCCTGGACCAGCAAGGAATCACCAGCAACAGCCCTAAACCCCAAACCCTAAACACATAAACCCTAAACCCTAAACCCTACACCACCAGTAAGGAATCACCAGCAACAACCCTAAACCCTACACCCTAAACACATAAACCCTAAACCCAAACCACCAGTAAGGAATCACCAGCAACTTGGGGGGAGAGTCAGTGGTTTTGCGCTTTCCAGTAAATGCAGCGTGGCAGCCCGCGTCGGCCAATCCTGTGGAGCTTACCTGCTACTGGGCTTTGAAGTACCATACTTTGATACTTTTTTTTCTTCAAGGAACCCTTATGAAATACAAGTCTATACTTTATTCTCCCTGGTTACTTAAAAGCCCAGGCTACCCGGGCTCTTATCCGGAATTCAAGCTCACTGACGAGGACTGAGATCCCCATTACCCAACCCTTCAATTTTTCCGGGTTTTTATCTGTTTATTTGTTTAGGGTTTAGGGAGGGCTCAGAACATCCGTCGCAGGGACGGAATTGCTAGCAGCCCCAGTGCTCAAAGAGCACGATTTTCACTGCCTTTCGGTTGAGCCACGGCAGTGCGATCTCCCAGGTGGCACAGAGCACAGCGGAAACTCCGCTCCAGGTGTCGCCGACGCCTACACGTCCGCCGAGGACAAGGCTTGAGGCCCTTACATCGGGATTTAGTGGTGCTCTCCACGCACCACTCTGCTCCTCCTCTTGGTTGGGGTATGGGACGAGGCGGGCCTCGCTATCCCGACAAGCCATGGAAGGGCAAAGGAGACGGCAAAGGCCGGGACACCAGGCAGGAAGGAAAATGGTCACTCTGGCCTGGTGCTTACAAATCCTCGCCTGGGCGCGAGCGTGTGGACAAGCAGGAGAAGTCGGACAAGACGAAGTTGCCTGTTTTCCCGGCGTACGATGCGTCGTGGAGACAGTCTGCTCAGTTGATGGAAGTCGCTGCAAGCACAGTGGCACCGCCTGGTGGTCGGGGCATCGTGAGAGATGTCCAGGGAGCTATCAACATTGCACGGCGTTTGGAGCAGAAGTTGGCTCGCACACAGAAAGAGCTTTTGCAAAAGGGCCAGGCATGGGAGTCCTGGGTACTGCAAATGCGGAGTTCTTACCAGACGGAGTTCGAGCGCCACCAAGCAGAACAGAAGCGACTGGCTGGAGAGATTCGGGATCTCGAAGCACAGACACAGGCAGCCTATACCCAGGTACAGCACTGTGCCTTGCACCAACAGGCTGTTCGTGTTACAGAGGTCTTGCCACCGCTTGCATGGGAAATGGAAGTGGATGGCGAGCTTCCCGATCTGACAGAGGAGCAGACCCGCTCGGAGCTGCAGAGAATCTTGGCAGCTGCTCCCCCGGGGTTGTCAACACCGGAGCGGCCTGCTACGACCGCGCCTCGGTCACCACCAAAGCCTGCTCCCATGACGACGACGGTGGCAGCCCCTACAATGGCTGGGCCCCAGGATCCCTATATGGCGATGAGTGGCCCGGAAGGATCTTCCGGCCATGGCAATGGGCCAGTTTCTGGTTTGGTGGATCCACGGCAACCTGCTCAGCTCCCAGACCGCTCCGCTTCTCAGTCCGCACGGGCCAACAAGTTGTCGGAAAAGCGGCGAGCCTACCGATCGGCCATGGCTCCCTTCGGTGTGGGCAAGCCACCGGGTGGAGCAGGCGGAGCTGGACCAGGCACGGCCTCGGGCAATCCTGGGCAGGACACAGGACAGCGGTTCCTGGACGACCACCCAACGAGCTGCATGCGGCCCCTTCTCCGGGTTTTGGAGCCATGGAGTGAGCCACCCTAGGCAGGACTCCTGGATCCGATGGAATGTGTGTCATGGGACTGACAGGCTGCCGGGTTCGCTAAGGCGCGGAGCTTCTTGGGCGCGGTCTTCGGAGGAATCACTGGCGGCCCCTTCGGATCAGCTTTGGGCGCCTTCGTTGGCGGTGGCGACGCGGCTGGCGGGGGTGCCGGTACTGCAGGTGGTGGTGGCAGGCAGGAGGGGAGATCGTAGAAGCTGTTGGCGGTGGCGCCGGGGTTGCTGATGCAGCCGGTGGCGGCGGCACTGTCCTGACGCGGCTGGGGCTCATGTTCCCTTTACACGTAGGGTCGGCAGCAATTTCGGGCTCCTTTGGCACGGCTGGATCTTTTTCTTGGGCTTTGATCCAGTCGGGCTCCCATCATCTCACTGGGTTTGTGAGTATCTTCCGGGCTTCCTCCCTGCCCTTCTCTCCTTTGAACCGCTTGGTGCTCTCCTAGCGCCTAAAACGCGCATCGGTGGCTCAGGGGCGCGTGCTATGGGACACCAAGCGGTTCTCTCCTCCTCGACCTTGGACTTTTGGGTCTGCTGTTCCACAGCACTTCCTTGTCCCAGGTGTGGCCTTGCGTTTTTGCCTTCCTTTTCTCCGCAGCTTGGTGGCCCCGATGCTCCAAAAACGCGTATCGGTGGCTCAGGGACGCGTGCTAGGGGCCGCCAAGCTTCAGCCACTACCGAATTACTGGTGGCACCAACAGTTCCACAGTGGGTTGCAGAGCCCTGGTGCTCTCTTACCTTTCTGCCCGCCCCAATTTGTGGTTTAGTCTCTTCGTCCTGTTAAGGTTTACGAAGGCGACTTGCCGTATTTCTGCGGCCAGGTCTCCTGAGGTCGGGCGCCATGTAGAAGTGTCAAGGCGCCCAGATCCCACAGGGCCCTGGCTTTGGCTTCACTTCCTGCTATCCATCTTGTTGCCCTTCTTCAGAAGCCTTGCCCTTGTGATTTTGCTTGCAATGCACCGTGCAATTCTGTCGCAATGCCCAGGCAAAGGGTTCCCCCTGTGGCGTGCTCTGAGCTGGATTTCTGCGGGTGCGTGTCTGCAGGTTTTATCACCGATCGGCAACCTTGGAACCACTGCCGGCCCTTTGAAATGGGTGCCTCCCGGGGCTGTCGTTGGTAAAAAGGCCAGCAGGTACAGGCAATTGCGGAGGAGCCGGGCTATGCCGCCCATGCGGGCCGCGTCCTGGCTTCTGGGGCTCATTTTCGGAAACTTGCCTCTTCTGGTTTGGTCAGCCCCAACAGGTCTTGCAGGTTTGGTAGGGTATGTACTGACATTACATACGGTATGCCCGAGAGCTTAATTCCCCGCTCCGTGGAACGCATCCTACCCGTTGTCAGGCGTTAAGCTGTTGGGCAGGCTGCTGCTCATGTTATACGGCCGCTTGGGTCTCAAGGAGTGAGGTCCCTGCATTGTGCTGTTTTCGCGCCGGGGTTTGCTACCGAGCATTATGATTTGAGCCTTCTGACACCGGTTTCCGCTGAGGACGTTGTTCAACGGTTGACCCAGCAATCCAACCACTTGATCCGTCTGGCCACTGCTCAGCTCGTACCTGTCAGGCCACAGCCTGAGGAGGGATATGCTTCCTTCATTGTTTGCCCTCTTTGGGTGCAGCGGGCAGGCAAAGCGGTTGTATTGCTCGATTTCTGGGCCTTCGATGGGCCGGTGTATGCTTGCATCGTCCCCTCGAACCTGACATATGCAGATGTCGATGCATTAGTTCAGAAGCATCTCTGCGACCCGTGGGCTGTGTTTGTTGGAGATGCATCTCAGCCCCTAGCTTCGAACAGCACGCATTCTGTGCAGAATGGCACGCTTTTGACCTTTGTGCGAGCTGACACTGAGCATCAGTGTCTTCCGCCCTTGGAAAGTTTTCTGCTTCAGCCGGAGGAGTGGATCGAGAATCCTCTTCGTTTGCGGAAAGAGCTGCCCGCAGACCACTGGCTCCTCCTGTTGCCTGGCACTGCTCGGCTTATACAGCATGAAGGGGAGTTTGATGAACAGTTGTGCAGGGTTGTTGCTACGAAGATGCACCGTCGATCGGAGAATGTTGTCTTCTGTGCCCCTCCTTCAGCCGCAAATCTGGGAGTTGTCTTCGATGGATATTTTGTTTCCAACTTAGTCGCTGCATCGCCGCGCGGGGAAGGGGTTGGCCTCGAGGGCGTGGACACTTTGCCTGATTGCATTGTTCTGATTGATGGAAGGCAGCTAGGTAAGGGGCTTTCCTTACTAGTAGTGCACACGCCTTTGCTTACCATGCAGGATGCCGCAGAGGCAATCCATGTGAGCCCTCCGCCAGGGTTTCGTGCTTACGCGGAGCATCCCCGCCTCGAGATAGAGGGGCTTGCTGTCTCTATGGGGGATGTGGTGTCATTTGGGTATGAGGTTGACCCCAATGCACTCAGCCCTAGATCGGCTGCTTCGTTACCGCATATGCCCGAGGCTGACTGTGACACCCCAGCAGGTAGGGCTTTGTTATCCGGCGCCGGTCCGGCCCGTGCGGTCAGTGTCGTCAGGACAACTGAAGAAATCACACTTCCGTTCCTGATTTTCGCCCCGTCCACTGCTGCCGAACATGTCGAACTTTGTTTGACGTACCCTTGCTCTGTGCACGCCGCTGGTCAGGCGTTGGCAAACGCTCGCGAAGAAAACCCAGCCCGGTTGTTTGAGTTCTTGGTACCGGCTAAACCTCAACCTGATTTGAGTTTCGCCACTGTTTTAGCGGTACCACTCTGGGCTGAGTTGCACGTCTTTGTGCTTGTCGATGCCCGTCTGCTCGATTCCCGTTTGTTTCTTTGTGCTACAGGCGATCGCTTGAGCAGGCAGTCCTTCCTTGCCTTGACTTGCCTTTTGTTAAAGGATTTTTTTTAAATCCGGCTGTGTTTCGGTGTCGGGAATCTGCGGGAAACCCACGACACAAAGCTCCAGTGGCTCAGGGGAATGGGGTGTCCGGGTGGGGTGGGGTCGGCAAACGAGGTGTCCCCAATCTATTGAAGAAACGCCTCCCGGGGACACACCCAAAATTCACGTTCCGGAGAACCTTGCGGCAATGTTCGCTCTGGGGGCAAAAACAAAGCGAAACAACGAGAGCGAGAGGCAGCGAGACAGAGGGAGAGTCCCAGCGCATGCTTGTTGATATGATGAGGTCCTTAGAAAGATCCTGAGCGACATGTGTTTTGGATTTTGTTTTCAATCAAAACTTAAACTATCATGTGGCAAACAGACAGTTCGGTGACTTTTTTTGATTCCTAGACTCTCAACATGACATGGAACTTTGACCTCATTGAAATATTTTGTTTTCAAGCCAAGGATTTGTTTCTTTGTCGTCAGAGACCAAAACTTGAATTATCGTGCGGCAACAGTTTTTCGATCAGACACCTTTTCAATACCTTGTACTTAGCAACATCACATCGCGCAGACAAATCAACTCATTTGCCAACTTGCTTGTTCTTAGTTTCCGTATGTGGTCCTACACCTGCACACATGCACATGCATGCCATGTAGAAATAAAGGGCCATGACTTAAAGACCACACATTACTAGTAGCGTTGCATCCTGAGTTTTCGAGTACTGGTCGTGTAGCGATATT